GGACAGGGGCGGGGCGAGGTGAGGCGCAGGGACCGCGCGCAGGACGGGGCGCGCACAGGGGCGGGGCGAGGTGAAGCGCGGGGACCGCGCGCGGGACGGGGCGCGGGACAGGGCTGGGCGAGGTGAGGCGGGCGGGGCACGTAGACCTTTGGTGCGCGGGACAGGGGCGCCTGCTGAGGGCGGGGCAGGTCGCGGAACGGAGCTTCCCGAGGCTTCTCCTGCCTTTGCTGCAGCGGTTTGGTGATAAATTTCAGACTTTTTACTTAACGGACAGAGGCCGCTTTCCCTAGGTTTCTACACCCGAATTTCAAGCCTCCGCCCTTTTCTTTCCATAGAAAATGGTTTTATCAAAAACATGCTTTGCAACTTTTTCCCAATCGAGTTGTGCGGCTTTTTTTCCTTCTTTTTAAACGTGTGTTTAAAAAAGCACAAGAGTTTTGTGTCTAGGGGTGACGTCTTGTCGGGCAACCTCTGCTGTACTCGGTGGGAGGTGGATGAGGAGCAAGTGCTCATTTCGAGCTTGGAAGCTGGACCAGGCGAGCTGGAGCGGAGAAGTCAGCCGTGCTTAGTCGTGTCCAGCGCACTCCCAGCTGTTTGCCACCAAAGCAGCGACTCCTTCAAGCTTCCGGGCTGGGACAGTGTTCTTGTTCTGATCTGACAATAAGATTGATTGACTGTGGACACTGCAGAATCAGAGCAGTAGACGACTAATACATTTATTTTTCTGCAAACGGACAGGCAGACTCGGAATAGGTTATAGGATCACTGTTCTCACTATGAAAAGGAGAGCTGGGTCTGTGTGTTAATGCTTATTTTCAAAGCAAATATGAGCCCGTATACATTCAGCTATATCTTAAAATAATACATATTCAAGATAGTCCCAGACCAGCGCGTTGTACAGGTACTTTTCTTTTTAACTCTGTAAGGCAATGTATGGAATGATTGACTATTTATATGTAACTGTCTGTTGATGAAGATAAAGAAAGTTTCCTGTTAGTTATTTTAACCAAAAAAAAAAAACTTTGGAATAACCATACATGTACAAACCTCTATACAATTTCTTAGAATAAATTGCTCTGCAAATTGATCCAATTTAAAAGTGCATCATTTCATCGAGGGCAATTTTTTTGTAAAAACTTGTAATTGTTAAGGCCCAGCTTTAGAAAGGGAAGTGGAACTGTTACTATGCTAGGAGTGCTAACTGGTACAATTATTTTTAACAGAAAAGTGACATTATTCATCAACTTCCGGGGGGAGAGGTGATACATTCTCCTTGTTAAGACTTCCTGGGAGGATAACAAAAATCTAATCAAACTTTATCTTGAGTGTGTGGCTAATACCAGAGGATACAGGCTTGCATGGGGGAGACACTTTATGCAGACTATAAGCTATATTTTAATTGTTTGCTTGTGAAATGTGAGGATGGTTATTTTATATATATTGGGGGCGTGCAGGGACTGAACCCAGGGGTCACTTAACCATTGAGTCACATCCCAAGCCCTTTTAATATTTTATTTAGAGACAGAGTCTCACTAAGTTGTTTACTTAGGACCTTGTTAAATTGCTGAGGCTGGCTTTGAACTTGCAATCCTTCTGCCTCAACTCCAGAGTTGCTGGGATTACAGGCATGCACCATCACACCCAGCTTTCTTTTTTATTTTTAATTGGCTGAGCCTTTAATTTTTATCATTTTTAAAAAATGGATGATAACACTGTATGTATTTTTTTATGTACAATATGATGCTTGAGGTATGTATATTTATTTCAGTTTTCCTAGTTAACTTTGTCCTGTGAGGTTTTCCAAGAGGCATCCTGTTCAGAAAGTCCCATCAGACTATCTGGATTGGTCTCTCTGCTGCAGCTGTTGGACCACTAGTGCAGCTGTATGTCCAGGATTGCTACAGCTGCCCGGTAAACATTAGAATTTTATAGTGTTCCCTGGGCCAAAGCATAGGGCAACCACCAAGATATGCACATCTTTTGCTGTGGGCTCTCCTTTTTTGCTTACAGTTGCTACAGTTTATCCAGTTCTGCAAGTTCTCCCAATGGTTTTTTTTTGGGGGGGGGTGGTAAGACAGGGGCTGCCTCTTGTGAAGAGCCCCAAAGTATCAGTGAAGCTGAATGTCCACCTCCACCTCACATTTTCCACTGTAAAAGCTCTTGTGTGTAGGGGGATGTGTGTGGTTTCATTCCAGCTGGGGGAGGGACAGCATGAGAAAAGCAGTTTCATTTACCCTTTGAATCCTGCATTTCTTGAGAAACGTTGTCTGGGCTCACTCCCGGGATAATGTTCTTGTCTTTGGAAAGTTGCTGGGTGAATTTGTATGAGTGGGGCAGGATGAAGCTGAAGCACTCCTATTTGGCGATCTTCCTGATGCTACCCATACTAATTATCTTTGAGTAGTTAATATACATGTAAGTTTGTTTGTTTGTTTGTTTGTTTATTTGGGGTACTGGGGATTGAACCCAGGAGCACTCAACTACTGAGCCACATCCCTAGCCCTTTAAACACAGGGTTTCACTGAGTTGCTTAGGGCCTCACTAAATTGCTGAGGCTGGCTTTGAATTTGCAATCCTCCTGCCTCAACTCTTGAGCTGCTGGGATTACAGGTGCCACTGCACCTGACTATATATTATTAATTTTCAAATGGTCTGTGATGTGGTATCCCCCCAAAGCTCATGTGTAAGACAATGCAAGAGTGTTTGGAGGAAAAATGATTGGGTTATAGCCTTAACCCAGCCATCGAATTAATACCTGATGGGATTACTGAGTGGTTACTGGAGGCCGGGAGGCTAACTCACAAATATATATGCTATGGGGTATATATTTGTTTCTGGCAAGTGGAGACCTCTCTCTGCTTTCTGATAACATGAGAGCTGCTTCCCTGTGCCACACTCTTGTGCCATGAGCCTCGAGGAATGGAGCTGGCCTTCTGTGAAATAAGACCTTGGAAATTGTGAGCCCTTAAATAAACTTTCCTCCTCTACAGTTGTGCTGGTTGGGTCTTTGAGTCATAGCAGTGAAAAAGCTGACTAAAACAATCTGTGATCAGTATGAATCAATTTTGCAATCAGAAATTACAATAATTAGTTATAAACATCCCTTTAGTGTCTGGTTCTTTCCATTTTTTTTCTGATCACGATCCCTTGCTTCAGACTGGGTGCTCCTTTTGTATTGCTATTCACGTTTGGCAGCTTCAGGCACTGAATGATTTTCTGCCTTGCTTCACTTTGGACAAGAAGTCTAGAGTTCAGCCAAGAGGAGTGAATGAATCTTGGACTTAGAGAAAGAGAATAGACCTGGTAACAGGAGTGCCCCTGGGGAGAGCCAGGATAATGATAGTCCTCAGTATTCTAGTGAATTCTAATTTCTGTGCAAATAAGTTCCATTCCTGGGCTTTGATGAACGTTCACACAATAAGATTGGACACTGTTGGAACTGCGTTATGTGTTAGGAGCCATGTGTGAACTGTATGCAAACTGGACAATGTTGGAGCCATTAAGGCAGGGAAGTCAGTCTTCCAGGAACTCCTGGGTGAAATTCCCTAGTTGGAGCTATCCCAGATCATGCTGGCATCCTGACCTAGCTCACAGCTCCTGTTCAAACACAGCCACTGGAGATGAGCATAACCTGCCAAGGATAAACCTGTTTGTCTCCACTCTCATCCTGTCCGCCCTCCTGCCCCAAGGAAATCTCTATCTATCCCCTTTGTTCTGTACCACTATAAATAAAGCAAGCGTGGGCTTTTTCTTTGTTAGAAGTCAGACCCCTCTGGTCAGCTAAACAGGTCATGCCCATGCTTTGAAAATATGTAATTCTTGCCTTTTGTCTTTATTTCAAAGCTTTTATTTCACAGCCAGTCCATCCCTCTGATGGGTACCCACTTCCTTGCCCAAGCAGGATGTGAGCGACATGTGGTAATGTGTTATGGGCAATGGGCACTGGCCAGTCCAAATTCTGAGAGATTTCTTAGCCTGATAATTACTGCCATTTGGGCCAGATAGTTCGCACTCTCTACCCAGTTGTAATAGCCTAATTTGCCTCCAGAAAGTGCCAAATGTTCCACTGATGGACAAAATCATCTGTAGTTGAGAAGTGCTGGTTTAGAGGAGAGTTCTAGAAGGACTACCTGAGTCTTCTGGTTATGAGACTTGGAAAATATCATTTTTTGTAAAAGATTCTTGAACCAGTTTTTCAAGACCAATTGAGAGAACTCCAAGAGGAAACAAGTGTGCTCCTCCAGCTCTTAAATAGGCTTCCTGTGTTGGGTGTACAGGGGCAACAACATTTACCTGTTCAGATGATCTCATGTATTTCATACTGACATGAATGGTAGACTAATATTTTGAAAAATATTAGGTAATATCTACTTACATGATTTTACTTTTTATTAAGAAATAGAAAATTTTGATATTGGAAACTGAATCCAAAGGCACAGTACCACTGAGCTATACTGCCAGTCTTTAAAAATTATTTACTTATTTTTGAGACAGTCTTCCTAACTTGCTTAGCTTCACAAAGTTGCTGAGGCTGGGAAGCTGACTCACAATAAGGGGAGGTTCTCTGGATTAGACACAGGTAAATGGGGAGACAGAGGGGGGTGGGAGAAGGAAAGACAGTATGAATCAGACATAACTTTCCTATGTTCATATATAAGTACATGAACAGTGTAACTCCACATCATGTAAAACCACAACAATGGGAAGTTGTACTCCATGTATGTATGATATGTCAAAATACATTCTACCATCCTGTATAATTAAAAAGAGCAAATAAAAATACTGAAAATAAATAACTAAAACAAAAAAAAATATTATTAGAAAAAAAAGATGACATTAAAAAAAAAAGTTGCTGAGGTTGGTCTTGAACTTGTGATCCTTCTGTTTCAGCGTACCCAATCACTGGGACTACAGGTGTGAGCTTTACTGGTAGTTTTAGAGAAGACTGAGAAGTAAGCATTGGGAAGGGGCATTTGTGTGGTGAGTTACTCACTGGCCATGCCAAAATAATACAGAATAATGATTTGGAGAGCAGTGGTGTCAGTCTAGGTCCAGTTGTGAAACTAAAACTAAAGTAATTTATAGAGGCAATGTTTAGTATGAGGAATTATTGACTCTAACAGTGATTATCTACTGAGAGGGAAAGAGCTCTGAGAAAGAATATCTGGAAGAGCCTCCTGCCCTCCTCCAGGGCTTCAGATCCATTCCTCCTCGGACAGAACATGCCTTGTTCCTCTGGGTTGCAATGAAGGTCGCTAAGGTCACATCTGCTGAACTCACTGGGGGCAACTCTCTTCAGCACACAGGAAACCCCACCCCAGGAGATGCATCAGGGGAAACCCCTAATAAAGGCTAACCACAGAAGGAGGCAATGTCTTTCGGGGGCTTTCTGAGAATGGCACATGTACTGCTGGTTTTCCTCAGCCTGTGGGACAATGTCAGATGGCAGAGAGCCCAGTTTTGTTGTGGGGTGGATTATTCATGCTGAGAATATGATAAAGGTCGAAGGTCAGTAATAAAGTGCACTGATCTGTGCTTATATTTTTCTGGCTGTCCTGGTGTTACTTAACTCAACCTGCAGAACAACAGATGGCAAGGTACCATTAGTATTCCCATTTTAAAGATGAGGAAACTAGAAACTAAGAAGCTTAAATGACTTGGCCGTAGTGGACTCTGGGATATGAACCTATGTGACCAAATTCCATAGCCTGAGCTCAGAAATGCATGGTGTATTGAAAATACTCCCCCCTGCCCCTATGGTTTGTTCAAGTCACTGCTGTCTACACTTACACTTTTCTGTGCTAAATACTAAATCTGTCCATTGTGTTTCCGAGTTATCACTCCCTCTTTGCTAAACCGGGTACCGCTACTGCTGCTGCCACAATCAATTTGGCTCCAATATACTCTTTCTTCTTTGTTTTATATATGCAAGGTTCTGAGTATCCCAGACACAGTGAGTGTCCAATATTGAGTTTTAGTGAAATCCATCTTTTACCCACCGCTCAGAGAAGCAGTATTCCTGCTGCTTGAATCTCAAGCCATGGAGACACTAGGAATGTAGCCTTCCTCTAAACTGCCATCTTGAATCCTCCCCACCCCCATATTTTGACTTCTATTACAAAAGGTAAGTTTTGTCTGTTTTAAAAATGTAGATAAATTGAATCATAAAGTATTGATTCTTTTGGGTCTGGTGTGTTCCTCCGATCTATGAAAATTGGTTCTAAGATAGTCATAGATCCTATCTATGGGAGTCATCCATGTGTTTTACAAGATAACTGTTACAGCTACAAATATGTCACACTTTATCCTTCCTAATATGCCAGGTTTCATAGGACATGTTAAGATATTCACATGTTGCTTCACTTTGTGGCCTTAATCGTTTGTGTCATAATATCTAGTGAGTTAGCACAGTTTACCTGTGGTTTCTGACCATCAGTAACTTAATTATATACAAAAATAAATGTGAATACATAAATAAACCTCATTAAACCAAGATAAATATCCTTTTAATTCATCTTCCTCTACAAATAAGGAAAATGTCCACAGCCTTTCCAGTTTCACTCAAATGGAAGAAAGTTTGTTGGAAAGAGTGGCAGAGTAGAGACTGTCATCTAAGGACCCTTCTTGCCACCAAGGGTGGTCTGATGATGTTGCCTTCCCATGGTCCACAGAAGACATGGTAGATGATGGAACAGCTTCTACAACATTAAGGAAAATTATTAACCTATGTTATATTATCTCAGAGAGCAAATAACTCCTCAACCAAAGATCTGGAGCCAACACCCACCCAGATTCTCCAGATCTCAGGCACTGCCCCAGCTCAGGAGGAGACTCCTGTGTGTCCCCCCTCTCACTGCACTGCTGTGCTACCTACAGTGGCCTCCTCTACTCAGCAGCAGTCATTCCAGCACTACTGTGGAGTGGGCAGTGCTCAAGGCTAAGGAAGGGCATCATTTCTGTGGAGAGAGATCAGTGGCCAGGGGCTTGGGTGAAACTGGTGGGACACCTGTCCCAAGGCCCTACCAGACTGAGAGAGCGCCACCCAAAGGCCAGAGGACAGCCTATTCCTCACCTTTCATGGTGTCTGTTGTAACAAGAGAAGGCCTGGAAGTTTACAGAAATGTATATAGACCTGGGAACTAGTTGGCCGGCCATTAATGACTGCATCATTGATTAATGGAGAATGGGGGCTCCTGTAAAGAAGAGACCTTGGGAGGTGAGATGAGAAAGGAGGCTGGTGACAAATCCACATGGCTATCACCGATTGTCCAGTCAAGAAGCCGATGAAGAAATCAGTCATTCAGCCCATCAAACTTTCCATTATATGCACATGCTCACACCCCACAGGGAAGTCATCAGACCTTTAAAGAGAACTCCCACATCTTTCCCTTCCTGCTGAGTTTCATAGTAACTCAGCTCCCTACCTGGCATTTCCTCCAAGTGCTCTGAGAATTCCCCGAGCCACTGACTGCAATCTCCCATGGAGACCTTCCTTAAATGTTCTGTCAGTTCTTTCTCATTCTCCCACTTCTCCTTGATCTCTCTGGCTCTAGAATTAATCACTGTCCACTCCATGTGCATCACATTTAAGTAGAGAGATGGCTGTCCATCAATGCTGAAATTCCAGAATGAACCAATGTGGTTTTTTCTTTCAAGCTGACAAGACATCTTGGCCTGCAGGGTGAGAGGACCTGCAATACACAACAAAACCATCATCTCCCACTCTTGATAGATCCATCACCTCCCAATAAGTTGAGCTTTTCTCTGCACATTTAGAGGCCTGTATTCATTTCTCCCAGGCCTGCCCTTTCTTGTCCATTAAGCCCCACATCCCTCTAAGACTGGGCCAATGATAATCTCTTTTACACAAATACATCCAGAGCCTCCTCCATATGTGCAGTCCACCCCTTCCTCTCTCCTGCTCTCTCTGTCTCTTCACCCCATTCCATACTTACCCATGGTCTTATTTTTTTCTAAGTCCATATCAAGCAGGATCATCCTGAGATCTTGCCCCAGTTCTCTCAGCATTTTGGTCAATTGTGTCCATGTTTTGGTGGCATTCAGCCCCTTTCCTAGGTGACCCAAAGGTTTGATCTTGTTGCTCTCACTGTCATACTGAAGGAAAGCGGTCTTATCCACTGAGCCCTGCACTTCACACCAGGACTCTCTAGGTCTAGACTGAGATTTGACAGTGAAGTCGAGGCAAAGAGAGTGGGTACCTGTGAGAGAAACATGGATGTAAGGTTCAGGACAGGGAGAAGAGGACCCTTAGTTCCCATCCTTCTGTGACTCCCAGACTCCCTCTGAAGGGCCAGGCTGGCAGAGGGAGGAGTCTTCTTCCTAAACCTCCTCTATCTTCTAGATCCTTATTTTGGTGTCACCTTTAACTGAGGTTGTAGGATGCTCACATGCCATCAGGGACCCCTCACAGGCACAGTGTTACCAGGAGAAAATCTGACAGCACTTTCAGTGACCTCTACCAAGTTCTGGGTACAAAAAATACAAGATGGTATCTGTCCTCCTGAAAATTAAAAACTAGCTGAACAGACAGTATTTCCAATAGAGTGGAAAAGGAGGCACCAGGGATTACAGGTCAGTTCATCATGGTCTTGGTGTTCAGGCAGGTCATCATGGAGTAGATGCAGGAACATGGCAGCAGAGGAGAGCTGCCACACAGGAGCACAGAACCTAGTCTGGTGTCCTAGGCTGGGGCCCTATGAGCTGATCATCAGATTCCAGGGAACCTCTCCAGCCAAACCACACCCTTTCCCCATTCTTTAGAAGAGGTATCCACTTATGTGTGCCCAGCATGGAGCCCCAATCTCTTCTCCTTGTTTCCAACCAGTTCTTTTTTTAGTTTTTATTTTATTTTTAGTTTAGATGGACACAAAACCTTTATTTTATTTATTTATGTGGTGCTGAGTATCAAACTGAGTACCTCACACATGCAAGGCAGGTGCTCTACCACTGAGCTACAAACCCAACCCCTAACCAGTTCTTGCTAACACTCATGACTCAACAGTCTTCCAAGCTTCTACTAGCAGCAGAAGTAGCAAAAGAAGATAGCTAGTGGAATATACTGGAGACATTCTATTGAGAATAAATCTCAGAGAAACAGGCAAAATTAGCCAGGCATGTGCAGGTATGCCTCTTCCTCTGGGGTGTGGGCATGCCCCCAACTTACCATTGGAGGACTAAGGACCAGTCTATTGAAATTCAATGAAGAAAAAGGTTGTTTAAGGCATGTTTAGCAGGTAATGCAAAACAGAATTACTTATTAATAGAATTCTAAAAATTAGAAAAATCAGATGTTAAAAAACAAAATTCACTGTGAATACCCAGTCTCTGTAGGGGAAGCAGAGCTTGCTGGAGGTTATATGAGTTCCTTCCTTCTGCATACTGCTTCTCCTCTTTTCCCTGCCTCTTTTGCTATCTGCTTTCTTCCTATGTCTGTATTTTCTCCCAACCTCACTCTCCTCTGTCCCATTACCTCTAACCTTTCAAACCCTTCCTCTTAATGACTGAGATCCATTTGCATTCAGTACCCCACAATGAGAGATTCAGTCAATAGAGACGCGAGCCCTAGAGCCCCAGAATTACCTTTTTGGTTGAGAAATAGTGGCTGACAAAGATGATCACTTTCAGGTGGATAACTATAATAATGAACACAAGTAATTTTTAAGAATGGTCTTTTGATGGGTGGTGCAAAGAATGAACTGCACCTTGCTGAAACAGAGGCAATGGATTATGAAGGCAGTCCCAGTAAGGCAATGGTGGCAGTTTTGAAAAATGTCTGTGCAGTAAATAATTTCCCTTGGGGACTTGAAAATTATACCATGTATGGTCTTGATATGAAGGGTGGTTCCTGGTCTGTGCACACTGTGGAGGAAGATCCCAGGTCAGAAGCACAGAAGGATGTCAAGCTCTTCAGGAATCTGGAAAGCAGTTAGACCCTAGAACCAGTAGCAAGGTTCAACAGAAAGCAGTACAACTTGTTGCTGCTAAAGATGATGATTTTGTTGATGACGAGACTAAATAAAAGCTCTAGTGAGGAAACCTCTTTGTGACTCTCCAGCTAAAAATGCACAACAATGACATAAGAACAGGGAAGATGAAAACCACTGACACCAAGATCAAGAGGTCTCCAATCCTCCTAAACACAGGGAAAAACTCCTGAAAAACCAAAGACCCACTTCTGCCGAAGCATAAAAACAAAAATGAAAGAAAGTACAAAAGGGTCCTTCTCTTTCCAAAATGGAAGCCAAGTTCTTCAATTATGTGGAGAGGTGTTTCTGGATGATTGATCTGGAGGCTATTCAAGATCTCTGGTACTGGAGGAAGTTTCTTTAAGAAAACAGTTTACCAGTTTGTCAAAAGTTTCTGTCTTAAATCTCTAGATACATATGATCTACTAAATTGAATCAGGAGGGCATAGAAAATTTGAATGTACCAATTTCAAACAATGATATTGAGGACACTGTCAAAATGCTATCAACAAAGAAAAGCCTAGGACCAGATGGCCTCTCAGCCAAGATCTACCAGAACTTCAAAGAAGAACTTACACCAAATTATTTCATGAAGTAAGAAAGAAGAGGGACCTTCCAAACTTATTCTATGAATCTAATATCATCTTGATACCAAAACCATACAAAGACACTTCAAGGGAAGAAAATTTCAGATCAATATACCTGATGAACATAGATGCAAAAATTCTTAATAAAATAATTGCAAGTAGCATATCAAAACATTTAAAAAGATATTGCATCATGATCAAATGGGGTTCGTTCTAGTGATGCAAGGTTGTTTCAACATATGGAAATCAATAAATGTAATTCAATAGACCTAAAGACTAGAATCATATGATTCTGTGAGTACATGCAGAAAAAGCATTTGACAAAAATCAGCATCCATTTGTGCTCAAAACAGTAGAAAAATAGGGATAATAGGAACATACCTTACCATTGTAAAAACTATCTATGCTAAACCCAAGGCCAACATCATTCTAAATGGGGAAAAAATGAAAACATTCACTCTAAAAACTGAAACAAGACAGGGATGCCCTCTTTTTCCTACTCCTATTCAACATAGTTCTTGAAACCCTAGCCAAAGCAATTAGATAAAAGAAAGAAATTAAAGGAACATGAATAGGAAAAAAAGAGCTCAAACTATTCTTATTTGCCAAGACATGATTCTACATTTAGAAGACCCAAAAACCCCACCAAAAGCATCTAGAATTCATAAATGAATTCAGCAAAGTAAGAGGGTTTAACATTAACACCCATAAATCAATTGCATTCCTACACACCAATGATGAATCAGCTGAAAGAGAAATTGGGAAAACTATCCCATTCACAATAGCCTAAAAAAAAAAAAAAAGAACAAACAAAAACTTGGGAACCAATCTAACAAAGAGGTAAAAGTCCTCCACAATGAAAACCATAGAATACTAAAGAAAGAAACTGAAGATGACCTTAGAAAATGGAAAAAAAATCTTCCATGTTCTTGGATAGGCAGAATTAATATTGTCAAAACAGCCATGCTACCAAAAGTCCTATATGGATTTAATGGAAATCCTATTAAAATTCCAATGCCATTCTTCAAAGATATAGAAGAAGCAGTCATAAAGTTCAGTTGGAAAAATAAGAGGCCCAGAATAGCCAAAGCAATCCTTAGTGAGAAAAGTGAAGCAGGAGGCATCACAATACCAGACCTTGAATTGTACTACAAAGCTGTAGTAATGAAAACAGCATGGTATTGGCATAAAAACATTTATGAAGAACAGTCCAGTTTGAAGGGAATATATAGAACAGAATAGAAGAGACAAACAAATAGAAGAGACAAACCCACATATATACAGTTATCTTATACTAGATAGAGGCAACATGAACATAAATTAGAGAAAAGACAGCCTCTTCAACAAATGGTGCTGGGAAAACTAGAAATCCATACATAGCAGAATGAAATTGACCCCCTATCTCTCACTTTGCATAAAACGCAACTCAAAGTGGATCAAGGACCTCGATAGTAGAGCAGAGACTTTGTGCCTAGTAGAAAAAAAATGTAGGCCCAACTCTCATCATGTCAGCTTAGGAACCAAATTCCTCAAGAAGACTCCTAAAGCACAAGAAATAAAATCAAGAATCAATAAATGGGATGGCATTAAACTAAAAAGCCTTTTCTCGGCAAAGGCAACAATTAAGAACATGAAGAGAGAGCTTATAGAATGGGAGAAAATATTTGCCATTTGTACCTCAGATAGAGCATCATATTCCAGGATATACAAAGAACTCAAAAAACTAAAAAAACAAGATCTATAAATGGGCAAAGGAAATGAACAGGCACTTCACAGAAGAAGAAATCCAAATGGTCAAAAACTATATGAAAAAATGTCCAACATCTCTAGCAATTAGAGAAGTGTAAATTAAAACTAAACTTAAAACAAAAAAAGATGTCCAGTGTTCCATTTAGGTTTTTGGAATTCATCACATCAATAGACTTAAAGAATAGAATCAGGAAAAGGCCACGAAATATATTCTTTCTGGAGTTTTCTGAAGGAATACAGCCTTACAAAGAAATGATTATTGATTATAACCCTGTGAGAGTTTGGTGTTTACATCTCCAGAACAATGAAAGAATATATATGTAATTTATTACAGTAGCAATCAAAATCTGGCACAGTGTGTTTAAATAGGTCACAGAATGAGGGGGGGAAAAAAACCTCAGGTTGAGAAGGTTCAGGACTGTTCCAGCAGGTCGAGGTATTACAATTTTAAATAGGTACCTTTACAATCAAAATGGTTAAAGGGGGAAATATATATATCTCTATTATATGACAATTTTAAAAATTAAATAAAGAATAAATGAATAAAGGATTCAAAAGGAGGAGGCATGGAAGGGTGTGTCACCTGAGAACTAGATGTGAGAATGACACAAGTAGATTCCTCAGGGAAGAACAGTCCAGTCTGAAGGGATGGCAGTGCAAAGGCTCTGAGGCTGGAGAATTCTGCAATATGCTGAAGACCAGCGAGTAAACACTGGGGTAGGGACTGAGTGAGCAGGGGACAGAGTAAGGCATGGCTGACCAGACTATAGAGATACCTAGGCCTTTGGTTTTTCCTCTGATCATATTCAAGTGATAATTATAAGGACTATGTGCCTTATTCAAGTTTCCTCATCTCTTTGGTGAGACGATTCGGCAGAAGGATTATTATAGCCTGAACATTTGAGTTGTCCTCAAATTTATATGTTGAAACCTAATCAACAATGTGTATTAGGGATTTAGGATAAAGAGAGAAATATGGAATTTTAAGGGAAACACCCTCAAGCCACTGAAGTACAGAATCATGGCACCAAGATGCAGAAGACACAGTTGCAAACCTTGGCCCATGC